AATCAAGTCAGTCATGGAGAAGAATTTGGGAAGAAACTCGGTAGATAGCTATATCCTGGTGATGTCTCTTGTTGCTTTGTGCTTCCATCACGAAATGAAATGGCATCAAAGTAAATAACTTATAGTTTACTACCGAAGAAGAAGCAATGCAAGCACAAGCTGCTTCTGCAACACCATCTATATATTTCTCCAAAATAAATTATGCCGAGGAGTAGGCTAATTCGTAACTGTCATAGATTTGCACTCTGTCACCAATTAGACTAGAATTTAATTAGCAACACTTGTTCACATTCACCATGAAAGAGAAAAAAAATACTATAATATGGTTTACTACATTTGATACATATTCTTAGTCCATATCATAATTACGTCTATTACGGAAGAATTGCTGAGAATGATATATCTATGTCTTTGCAGGCACTTGGCCACTTAATTTACCAAAAAAATCTTTCGAATTTACACTATCCGAATGCACTAGAGGCTCAGACCCTGTCAAAAGGAATTTCTGCAAAAATTGACCAGTCTATTTCTATGAATGTGCAAATTTTATTAGAAAAATTAAGGAAATTCCTTGAGAGGGATTTCTAACAATAACTACATAATCAGTAGCCAAAGTGGCAGACATCAGCCATAAAATGAGAAAGTGAAGAAGAGGAATAGAGCACATATTTCAATAACTACTGACGCCAACTGTATTAAACATAAGGAGAAACAGCAAGAGCGAAGGATTATCTATGAGCTGATACGAAAGAAAAAGAAATACCTCTGAGCATTGTCTTGGATAAATGACTTCCTATAATGTAATATCACATTATTGTATTGATACTTAACTTCATCTTCTAACACTACATCAACATGGCCCACTCGATCCATCTGGATAGTAGTGAAAAGGAGTAAATACATTACTGAAGATCAGAATTCTGAAGCAAATCAATGATCCAGATGCATAAATTAAGCCTAGCCATTCAACGGTAGAGCAATCGATAAAAGATTTTTGGGCATGTGAATTCCTTCAAACTGGTTCTCCCAGATATAAGAGAAACCCAGATTTCCAATTACAGAAAAGCCAGGACCAAAGACTTCAAACATGGATGAACCAGGAAACATTCGATTTGCTTTCATAATTCTTTAAAGGCTTTGAAACACCAAACTAAGTCGAGGATATCGAAAACAGGAAACAGAAATCAGGTTCAGTTGAAGGCAGCTTCCAGAAAAATTGGATTCCTTACAAGCTATAAGTTGGATTTTCTAAGCCACAAACATACCAGTAGAGCACACACGCTACCCTCCAAGGCGCCAGCATACAGAAGAAATCCCCAGCAATCTGGCTAGCTCTAATGCAGTAGAATAATGAGCACTAGCATCAACTGGCGATCCAGCCAACAAACAGTAGTCCCCTATGGTCTTCTGGGCACGGCCAAGTCTTCTCTTTTCGCCTTTAAAACCTGTAATTGAACAAGAAAAAATGAGAGAAAGGAAGATCAAAACCATAAAGGGGGCAATTGCAATGGCAGGGCAGAATATGGAAAGCTTCAGTTGGGAAATTAGCAGAATATCAAAATACTT